GTGGGGACATTTTCATTCTCCATGATGAAAACGGCTCTTAAATCCCACAGAATGAAGCATTCTGAAGGTGTGAAAGTGTTTCCTGCGAGTGTTGAGTTTAAGAATAGGACACACACACACAACATGTACTGCAGAAGCACCATTATGTCTAAACGGAGTCCCCATAACACATGAAAACCTAAACCATGTGTGTGTGTGCACGAGGAAACGAGAGAAATGTGAGGGCACGATCTGCCAGTTCTCTGCCTGCGGACACACAGTGATGTCAGAGCTGCTCAGCACAACACCACGTGCACGTGTGTGTGTGTATGTGTGTGTGTGTGTGTGTGTGTGTGTATGTGTGTGAGAGAGAGAGAGAGCGAGTCAGAAAGTAACCCTTGACAAAGAGTCTGTGTTTTATTAGTGTGCATGTGTGTGTGTGTGCATGAGGCGATGGATGTGAAGATGAAACGGAGCACAACATGACAGTGTTTACACACACACACACACACACACACTGAAGGAAAGAGGCAGAGCAGCAGAAATGAGTGTGTTTCTCTTCTTCTTCTTCCTGCGATTGAGAGTTTGGATGTGATCAGACATGCTGGACTGACTCTGGATCTGCTGACCGGAGGAACGCTCCAGAAACCATGACAGGTCAGTTCAGCAAAAACACACTCAAACTGATCTCAAATCAGACGCTGCACTGCACACATGCTGCTCTTACTTACAGTCTTGCGTCTTGTTTCTAATCCAAATGCCTAAAAGCTCTTAGATATTGTGTTGTTTTCAGAAATAAGGAGTCAAAGTGAAGTGAGCTTTCATTCAAACAAGCAGAATAATCTGACAACTGCGCAGAATAAACAACATTGCTTGCTCCTTTTGACATACTTGCATGTTTATTCCCCCATTAACAGATCATGTTGCGTGTTTTAATGAAAAACTCACTTAATTTTGACTTGTTATTTCTGAAAACAGGACTTTATTGTTTGCTTGTCTAGGAAATGCTTCTTGAATGAAGAGTTTTGGGATATTTTGGACTAGACACTGTGTGTAAGAGCGGCATGTGTGCAGTGTGCTTGTGTAGAAGAGCAGTCCTGCATGTTCATATGTTGACTCAATCAGAATCTGAGATTATTTCAGCGATTATTGTACACATTTGCATGTTTACGGTTTACTAATATCATTATCGGCTACATGAGCTGTAAATAAATCAAATGTTTATCTGAAATGAAAAGCCTGAAACGTCCTATATCATTCAGAAGAGTCAGCATCTGTATCTGTTTAGATTGCTTTGTAAAGTATTGGGTGGCATGGTGGCTCAGTGGTTAGCACTGTGGCCTCAGAGGATGAAAGTAGCAGGTTCGAGCCTTGGCTAGATCGGTTGGTGTTTCTGTGTGGAGTTTGCATGTTCTCCCCACGTTGGTGTGGGTTTCCTCCGGGTGCTCCGGTTTCCCCCACAGTCCAACCACATGCGCTATAGGGGAACTGATCAACTGAGTTGGCTGTAGTGTATGAGTGTGTGTGAATGAGTGTGTATGGATGTTTCCCAGTGCTGGGTTGCGGCTGGAAGGGCATCTGCTGTGTAAAACATATGCTGGAATAGCGGTTGAAGCCAGAGCAAAATGAATGTATAATAGTTAATGTTTATCTGAAATAAATTGCTTTTTTATATGCTAGACCATTCAGAATATTGGAGTCAACATCTGTATTTGTTCTTATTATTTGTAAAGAATTGATATCAGTTAATACTTTTATTTAGGAAGGATGCTTTAATAAGGTCAAGAGTGATGATAAAGACATTTATATGTCACAAAATATTTCAAATAAATGCCGTTTATATTAACATTTTTATTCAAAGAAAGCAAAAAAAACACTCTAATTAAAAATAAATAATAATAATAATATTAATGATAATATGTATTTTTTGATCATCAAATCAGCATGTTAGGATGTTTTCTGTAGGATTGTGTGACTGCAGTAATGATGCTAAAAAATCTGCCTTTAAATTGCATGAATAAATTACATTTTAAAATATTTTCAAAAATATATAAACAAACAAACAAATAAACAGACAAATAAATTCTGTATGGTTTAGCAGAGTTTTAATTATAATAATGCAATGCAATTACAACACAAACATGTATAATTTAGCAAAAAAATCTATACCATTTCTGTTCTATCTATTGTTCATCAAAAAATAATGTAGAAATAAAATTAAATAAAAATAAATCATAAATTAATTAAATAATAATAGTAATACTACTACTACTAATAATAATAATAATTTATTTGTCATTTACCGTAACAGACAGCTCATTAAATAAAATAAAATAAAATAGAAACATTTTAAGAATGAAGATTTTTTTTTTTTTAAACACAAACTTAATAAATGAATAAATTGTGTACAGTTTAGCAAAATTTTAATAATACTGCAATGCAATTATAATGCAAAAATATGTATGAGTTAATAATAATTCACACAGCATAAAATCTATGACATTTCTGTTATATCTATAGTTCATTAAAAAGTTATATAGAGTAGAAATAAATATTAAATAAAAAAAAAATTAATTAATTAACAAATTAATTATTAAAGATTACAACTACTACTACTACCAATAATAATAATAACAATAATAATAATAATAATAATAATAATAATAATAATAGGTTAATTGTTATTTACTGAAATGGACAGTTAATAAAAAAATAAAGTAAAATTTAAAAATTTAAAAATTAAAAAAATAATAAAATAAAATAAATAATAAAATATATTTTTTTAATGAAATAAAATATAAAAATAAAATATAAAAATGAAATAAAATGTAATAAAAAGTAATAAAATTAAAACTAGCAGAATTTTAAAAATTAAGATTTTTTTTATTTCAAAGAAGAATTTAAATAAGTCAATAAATAAATACAGATTTTGTAATAGCCAATGACTTCAATAGTATGTTTCTTACTATGAAAATACCTGACTCAAATGGCAGTTCTATAAATAAATAAATGAATAAATAATTAAATAAATAAATTAATTAATTAATGTACCCTACAGAAAAATCGCGCTTAAACCAGCCTAGGCTGGTTGGCTGGTTTTAGCTGGTCAACCAGCCTGGTTTTAGAGGGGTTTTGGCCATTTCCAGGCTGGTTTTAGCTGGTCACGCTGGGGGATGACCAGCTAAACCAGCTTGACCAATTGAAGAAAACAAGTAAATTAGGTTTTGACCAAGTGAAAGTTGAGTATAGATGATGGCAGACTTGTAATTTTTGTATGAACTTTCCCTGTGTAGTGTAGTTGTGCTGTGGTGTTCAGTGCACTATCCGGTGTCCACTGCTGTAGTAAGCTCCAGGAGCAGTAAGACACCCTTTGGCACAGCCTAAAGGTGTATCCTTGACATTTATTCGGCCTTCCTGAATCTTTGCCAGAGTTTATTCCCTGTGTTTTCCGCCTGCTCTTGAAAGTACGCTGCTGTGCACTCACAGAGAGTTCACTATGGGATCCAGTTTAATTCAGTCACAATCACTGCTTGCATCTCAAATGAGAGTAGTGTAGACTTAAAGTTATGCATCATTATCTTACAGTGAACATTTATACCTTAGGCTGTAGTGTACGATTAATAATGTGATTTTAATTAATTCTGTATTATGCATTTTAGAGATGAGTTGTATATATCATGCATATTTTACTTCAGTGTCAGCAAATCAGCATAATAAATATTTTCTGAAGGATCGTGTGACTGGAGTATTGATGCTAAAAATACTTAGAAATCACAGAAATAAATTACATTTTAAAATAAACTCAAACAGAAAACAGTCTCTTTAAATAGCAAGCATATCTCACGTTTTTACAGGCAAGCTGAAAAGAGCTTTACACACTTTACACATACGGTAGAATGTTTGAGCAGTCGTGTAAACCAGCAGCTACAGTAGATAAGCTCACACTAATATAGTCAAATGCTAATGTTTACGTTCCCACATATTATAAATGAGGAATATTTGCTTTGTTTCTTCTGTGTTTTGCTTCTTTTGTCGTCTGGAAGGATTGTTTGTTCAGCGTGTGGAGTGAATCTGTTCGCTGACCTGAAGCGCTGCTAAATTAAGGACACAAACGTCAGACTAATGAGAACTGGACCGTCCTGCCTTCATATTTTCAGCCATATCTAATATTTATTTTTATACTTTTTCCACATCTTGAAAGCAGAATAAGAGTCTTTTAAAGCACATGATACTACTTAGTAAAATTGATGAACTCAACAGTTGAGAGGAACACATTTAGTGTGCAGTAGATAAGCATAAATATAGAAATCAAACAGAAGATATACATATTCCTTGCATAAAATGTGTTTATAGCTCTTGTTTTTGAAGTCAGTGATGAATACCCTGCTAAAAAAACAGCTTAAACCAGCCTAGGATAGTTGGCTGGTTTTAGCTGGTCGGCCAGGCTGGTTTTAGAGGGGTTTTAGCCACTTCCAGGCTGGTTTCCAGCTATTTCCAGCCTGGTTTTAGCTGGTCAGGCTGGGAGATGACCAGCTAAAGCCAGCTTGACCAGTCTAGCCAGGCTGGGAGCCCAGCCAAAACCAGCTATGTCCAGCTTAAACCAGGAGTGTCAAGCTGGTTTTAAATGGTTTTAGCTGGTCACTTTCCAGCCTGATATATTTATTTATATAAAACCAGGCTGGAAATGGCTGTAAACCAGCCTGGAAGTGGCCAAAACCCCTCTAAAACCAGGCTGGAGGACCAGCTAAAACCAGCCAACCATCCTAGGCTGGTTTAAGCTGGATTTTTCAGCAGGGATTTAATCAAAATAACTCAATGCATTGGGTTAAAATAACCGGGAAGGTGCTATAATAACCTAAAGTTGGGTTTATGTTGGGGTATGTTTAACCCAACTATTAACAGTAAAGTTTCTAGTATATCTAGTAAGAGCTTAATTAGCTTTAGCAGTTGTGTTTGATTAGAGTTGGAGCTGAACTCTTCAAGACACCGGCCCTCCAGGACCGAGTTTGGACACCCCTGGTTAACAGCATAACATGCATTAAACCAATCAGAGTCTCGTTTCACGTGTGTGTGTGTGTGTGTGTGTGTGTGTGTGTGTGTGTGTGTGTGTGTGTGTGTGTGTGTGTGTGTATGTGTGATATTTAGAAAAGAAGAGCACGGGAACCAGCTTATGAGCAGCTGCTATAGCCATGACAAACACTCAGAGCCTGGATATAGATAGATCTGTTTCCATTGCGACTGCAGAGCAACCTGTGCTACAAAACAATCCAGATCTTCCCTTTGTAAAGGCTTATTCATAAAAACCATTTAAAAGCTTTTAATTATACATATTTTTTCATATTTATACATAAACAAACCACTGTGGTGAGTGCCAAAATCATGCTGCATGCCTTTTTTGCGTAACATACATAATATACATGCATATACAATAAATCCACTAGAGGGCGCTGTCTACAAATTTGCCAATCTCATCATGTGTTAATTAGCGTACAATTTAGATGTACATGTCAGATGACATTCCCAGAGATGGGTTGCAGCTGGAAGGGCATCCGCTGCATAAAAATGTGCTGGATAAGTTGGCGGTTCATTCCGCTGTGGTGACCACGGAATAATAAAGGGACTAAGCCGACATGAAAATGAATGAATGTCAGATGACGAATACACTAGAGGGCGCTGTCTACATTACTGCTGATCTAAAACACGTTAGTTAGGGTGTGATTTGTTTAATTTTTGCTGAAGACAAACCCAATATGGATCAATAAATCAACAAGATACGTCTTTTAAATGCTCCAATGGTGAAAGAATAGTGAAGCGATGACCTTCAGAGCCAATCACAGTCACAGTTCATGTTACTGTGTGGAGTTTGCATGCTCTCCCCGTGTTGGCATGGGTTTCCTCTGAGTGCTCCGGTTTCCCCCACAGTCCAAACACATGCGCTATAGGGGATCTGATCAACTAAACTGGCTGTAGTGTGTGTGTGTGTGTGTGTGTGTGTGTGTGTGTGTGTGTGTGTGTGTGTGTGTGTGTGTGTGTGAATGAGTGTGTATGGGTGTTTCCTAGCACTGTGTTGCAGCTGGAAGGGCATCAGTTAAGTAAAACATATGCTGGAATAGTTGTCGGTTCATTCTGCTGTGGTGACCCCATATAAATAAGGGACTAAGCTGAAGGCAAATGAATGAATGAGTGTGAATCATCATTGTGTTTGAAACGTGCTCTAGAATAATCTTGCTTTGCCTTCATGTTTGGTGTGAACCTGGCATAAGTCTTAGAGATTAAACCAAGTGAGAACCATGACGGCTAATTTTCCCTCTCTCTCTCTCGACTAGGTTTGGTTTTTGCATTCTCCAGCCTGTTATTACTCCACACGGCCTCCTCCTGCCCCAAAGAGTGCTCGTGTGACGCCAAAACGGTGGACTGCCGGGGTCGAGGACTGTATGATATCCCACGAAAACTTCATCAAGACACCCTGGAGCTTTATCTCCAAAACAACCGGCTCCGAGGCCTGAGCTCCATGTCTTTTCGGGACACACCAAACCTCCAGACCCTGGACCTGGCCAACAACTCGATCTCCATGCTTTCTCCCACCTCCTTTTTGGGCCTCAGGAGCTTGAAAGTCCTGAGTCTGGCTAATAACTCTATACGGGAGGTGGATCGGCGGCTTCTGGTTTCCATAAGGAATCTTACGACACTGGACCTCTCCTTTAACACCATAAACAGTCTACCTGGAGCTCTAGCGGATAGTTTCCACTATCTGACGCATCTGTTTCTCCATAACAATCGGCTAACCAAGCTGGACCGCATACATCTGGAGGCTCTGGGCAGTCTTAAAGTTCTGCATCTAAAGGGCAATCCCTGGAGATGCGACTGCCATCTGATCGGACTCAAACTATGGCTGGAGACATTCGCTTTCAAAGGTAAACAAAATACTTTAAATATTAAAATGTTACATCTAACTACAAAAGTAAAGTTCATAGACAAACTTTATGGTGTCTCTAGAAAGTCTAGTCTGGAAGTAGCTATAAAATTGAAGTAGTTTTCAAGAGGTTTGAAACAGTTGGTATAGAGTGATAAGCACATATAGGTTGCTAGTTGTTGCTAGGGTGTTTCAGGTTGTTGTTAAGATGTTCTGAGTGGTTGCCGAGGTGTTGCTAGGGTGCTTTGGGTGGTGGCTAAGGTGTTGCTAGGCGGTTGCTAGGGTGTTCTGAGTGGTTGCTAAGGCATTGCTAGGCAGTTGCTAAGGTGTTCTGAGTGGTTGTTAGGTCGTTGCAAAGGTGTTGCTAGGTGGTTGCAAGGGTGTTCTGAGTGGTTGCTAAGGCATTGCTAGGGTGTTCTGAGTGGTTGCTAAGGCCTCGCTAGGCAGTTGCTAAGGTGTTCTGATTGGTTGTTAAGTGGTTGCTAGGCAGTTGCTAGTGGTTGCTAAGGTTGATTGCTTGAGTAGATGGCTAAGGCATTGCTAAGGTGTATTAGGCGGTTGCTAAGGTGTTGCAAGGCGATTGCTAGGGTGTTCGGAGTGGTCACTAAGGTGCTGCTAGACAGTTGCTAAAGTGTTCTAATTGGTTGCTAAGGTGTTGCAAGGCAGATACTAAGGTGTTCTAGGTCATTGCTACGGTGTTTCTAGGTGGTTGCTAATGTGTTTTTGAGTGGTTGCTAGGCGATTGCTAAGGTCTTTTGAGTGGTTGATAAGGTGTTGCTAGGCAGCTGCTAGGGTGTTCTGAGTGGGTGCTAGGCGGTTACTAAGGCAATACTAGGGGGTTGCTAAGTTGTTCTAGGTCATTGCTAAGGTGTTGCTAGGTGGTTGCTAGGGTGTTTTTGAGTGGTTGCTAGATTATTATTTGGGTCTTCTGAGTGGTTGATAAGTTGTTGCTAGGCAGTTGCTAAGGTGTACTGAGTGGTTTAACAGCAGATGGCACTATAGGCTACTGCTTAAAAGCAGTTAGAGCTCTAGACTAGTGTTTAACAGCAGACAGCGCTCTAGACTAGTGTTTAACAGCAGATGATGCTCCAGGCTAGTGTTTTACAGAAGATGGCGCTCTAGACAAGTGTTTAACAGCAGCAGATGTCGATCTAGGCTAGTGTTCAACAGCAGATGGCACTCTATACTAGTGTTTAACAGCAGATGATGCTCTAGACTAGTGATTAACAGCAGATGGCGCTCTAGGCTACTGCTTAAAAGCAGATAGAGCTCTAGACTAGTGTTTAACAGCAGACGATGCTCTAGGCTAGTGTTTAACAGCAGATGTCGCTCTAGGCTAGTGTTTAACAGCAGACGGCGCTCTAGACTAGTGTTTAACAGCAGATGTCGCTCTAGGCTAGTGTTTAACAGCAGATGGCGCTCTAGACTAGTGTTTAACAGCAGATGATGCTCTAGGCTAGTGTTTAACAGCAGATGATGCTCTAGGCTAGTGTTTAACAGCAGCAGACGGCGCTCTAGGCTAGTGTTTAACAGCAGATGGGGCTCTATACTAGAGTTTAACAGCAGATGATGCTCTATACTAGTGTTTAACAGCAGATGATGCTCTAGGCTAGTGTTTAACAGCAGATGATGCTCTAGGCTAGTGTTTAACAGCAGCAGATGGCGCTCTAGGCTAGTGTTTAACAGCAGATGGGGCTCTATACTAGAGTTTAACAGCAGATGATGCTCTATACTAGTGTTTAACAGCAGATGATGCTCTAGGCTAGTGTTTAACAGCAGATGGTGCTCTAGGCTAGTGTTTAACAGCAGATGTTGCTCTAGGCTAGTGTTTAACAGCAGATGGCGCTCTAGGCTAGTGTTTAACAGCAGATGATGCTCTAGACTAGTGTTTAACAGCAGATGGTGCTCTATACTAGTGTTTAACAGCAGACAGCGCTCTAGATGAGTGTTTAACCGCAGAGATTAGTGTTTGTAAAGCATAGAGCGCCCTCTGCTGGTAGAAACCAAGCTTAGAATCGGATGAAGAGAGAATAGCAATGCATTTTAAGATCCTCAATCGAGGCAGAAAGTTAAAAAGAGAAATAAGACCAAGGTCTATATCTGCTTGACCTCTTCTGATTGTGCCTCAGGTGGAGTTGTGGACAGCATCACGTGTGTCCAGCCGCATCTGATGCTGGAGCGAGACCTCCGGCTCGTTCCCTACGAGCTGTTCCACGCCTGCATGATCACCAGCTACAGCTACCTATTCGCCAACATCCACTACATGGACAGCAAGCACCGCACGCTCAGCGGACAGCTCTACCCCAGCCCCAGAGCCCCGTCTGGGGGAGACTTCAGCCCCGCGGGAGACCCCATACTGCCCGAATGCGAGGCCAAGCAGAGATCCAGACCCGCAAACTACAGACACGCCATCGCCACCGTGGTCATCACAGGGGTGGTGTGTGGGATAGTGTGTTTAATGATGCTAGCGGCCGCCGTCTACGGATGTGCATATGCAGCGATCACAGCCAAATATCAACGAGAGCTCAAGAAGAAAGCAAAGGAGACTGCAGGAGAGGAGCAGAAAAACATCGAAAGAGACCAGGATAAGGAGCCGCTGGAGTGATGCATCATATCACGCTCATAAGAGCACGGAAACACCCCGAGGATACACTTCAGAGCATGCACGTGCTGTTGCAAAAAAAAATAAATAAATCCTGCGATTGCAAAAAGATGAAGTGTCATGCAGGGAATCCTGGAAGAGTGAATTTATGGCTATACACTGTATTTATTAAGGAACTACTTTCTTGGCAAATAAGTTTGCTCATGACTATACATGAAATGCAGAGTAACATAATGGAGTGATGCAGCATAGCATGCACATACAGGCACAAGAACATGTGCACTTGCTCTTGTGTGTCTACATCATACCTGTCAACCCTCCCGTTTTTCCCAGGATTCTCCCGTTTTTTACAGTTCTATCCCGCTATCATCTTCTCCTGTATTTTCAGTCTTTCTCTAAAGGGTGGCAAATACACATTAAAGAGCCAAGCCTCCCTATACACAACCCATACCGCCGAACCACCAGGGGACGCCCCTTACTCTTAAATGTGAGTCTGTTCTGTGCTTTCGCTTGGTTTATGCGTGAAAACACTTTGAAATAAATATAAAAACGGAGGGATTCCCTTTCCTTTTGATTACTGGTGTCGTCGCCCCTCCTATGCAATCCTCAAAGCAGTCATATAGCAGTGCGTGACTGTCAGCTGACGCGCTCCATAGTGATAAATAGACGCTGCTTCCCATGCTGGGTTTTGGGTGCGTGTTTGAACAGACATACACACATAATTAATAATATAAGATCTAAAGATGTCGATCTTGGTGAGGGTGTTTTTCAAACACAACTAATTTCGTCCTAAATGAGCCTAAAAAGTTGGCAAAGCAGTCGAATGCTTCCATTATAACGTTACATGTGTGCATTTTTAAAGTGACGCCTCTTATTTAATGTAATCATATGAAAAAAGTCTAAATAAATAAGAGATTCATCCGCTGCTCCTTCATCAGAATGTGTGAGAAAAGATTAATGTGATTTGATAGCTTGATTCTTTTTCATTACAATAGCTATTCATTTTAATAAGCGTAACTGTTTGCTAATGTATTTGCTGCTAATGTACATTATTATTTTTTATTTTGTTAATAATAATCATAAAGCATATTACTGACCATTTAGCTGTTTATTTACAATGACATATTTAGTCATTTGGGGATTTTTAAACCATTATTATGGTGGGCATATCCCTTATTTTCACATCCCAATGTATGGTCTACATGCTAACAAAAAAATTCAATTATTGCAAAAAAAAAAAAAGCATAAAAGTGAAGCGCCATGCAGAGAAAAAAATCTATTCAATTCTATTACATTTTAATTTCATTTTATTTGGCTTTTTTTAATGTAATTTCTGCAATAATTCAGTCTTGGCATTGCTATGCAGAAAACAAATAAACCTTAAACCTTAATTCTGGGAGGGTGGATTTACAGTTAAGGGCTGTATATATTAAGGACATCTACTGTTAAGCAGGTTACAGATTATTTTTCTTTTTTTTAAGCACTTGTATTGTTGAAATCAGACATTTATTATACTGTATAAATGTAATTTTAAAGGCAGGTCTGTGCACTTGGCAGCCACTATGGCTGGCAGCTATTTTCTAGTCACATACAGATCAAATTAATATTTTCAGTTAATATTTTTCAATTACGCCAAAAAAAAAGAAGTATTTTTTCAGGATGCCAAAGTGCATTCTATAGTAAAAACCATAGGCACTGAATAAAAAAGCTTGTGTCAATTTTTACCCCGCGTTGTATTTGTTATGTTTGTAAATGAATACAAGTGTGTTATCCTTCTCCATACACCTGTGTCCAGACATCCTGTTTTATATGTCTTTATAAAGCCCGATGTTTTTTGTTGTAAGATTAGATCATATATCTGTCCATTCATCTTGATTTAATGATTCGATTCAAACAGTTTAAACATTCAGTGATTCAGTATAAACAGCTCACTCAGTTCTAATAGTTCGTAAGTTCAATGATTCGATTCAAACAGTTCAAACATTCAGTGATTCAGTGTAAACAGCTCACTCAGTTCTAATAGTTCATAAGTTCAATGATTCGATTCAAACAGTTCAAACATTCAGTGATTCAGTGTAAACAGCTCACTCAGTTCTAATAGTTCGTAAGTTCAATGATTCGATTCAAACAGTTCAAACATTCAGTGATTCAGTGTAAACGGCTCACTCAGTTCTAATAGTTTGTAAGTTCAATGATTCGATTCAAACAGTTCAAACATTTAGCGATTCAGTGTAAACGGCTCACTCAGTTCTAATAGTTTGTAAGTTCAATGATTCGATTCAAACAGTTCAAACATTCAGTGATTCAGTGTAAACGGCTCACTCAGTTCTAATAGTTTGTAAGTTCAATGATTCGATTCAAACAGTTCAAACATTCAGCGATTCAGTGTAAACGGCTCACTCAGTTCTAATAGTTCAGAAGTTCAATGATTCTATTCAAACAGTTCAAACATTCAGTGATTCAGTGTAAACGGCTCACTCTGTTCTAATAGTTCGTAAGTTCAGTGATTCGATTCAAACAGTTCAAACATTCAGCGATTCAGTGTAAACGGCTCACTCAGTTCTAATAGTTTGTAAGTTCAATGATTCGATTCAAACAGTTCAAACAGTCAGCGATTCAGTGTAAACGGCTCACCCGGTTCTCTCCTGACACTCCTAAATTAACAACAGTAAATTCTACATGATTTTCATGTTAAATGTACTTGATATGAGATTAGCACTATGGTATAATACTATAACCTACTTGACTTTCACTCATGCAAATTGTTATGAGGATTTTATCAAGTAAATCTTAAGAGGGTTTTTCAGTGTACGGTCTCTGGCATACTGTATTTTTCCAAAGGAGTATTTAATCAGTATATGGAGAACAGACTCCACCACTGCTGTTTACACTGTTTGCAGCATTATTGAGGAGACGATATCAGTTCCTGTACAGCTTCAGTTTGGCCAAAGACTCATATGAGCATATCAGTGACTGTGCTTTAATCACAGCTGTTATTTCAAAGCAGAAAACACATGCAAAATGAACATGCAAATAAAAGTGAGGTCGAGTAATGATTGCTGCTACTTGCAAGAGATTTTAGAGGTGCAGAAATTCATTACAATAACCAGCAATAATTCTCATACATACAAGTGTTTTATTTACAGTCTGTTGTACAACGTCTGACCTTTACTGCACATGTTTATGTGTTCTCAATATGAGTGTCTTAATTTAATGTGCTTATGACTATTGTAAAAGCAGCTCTGTAAATACAGAAATACAACTACAGTCAGATGACACTAAAGATGTAAAGATATAGAGAGCTCTTGTGCTGGAATATAGAGGATTATATAAGCCCGTACTCTACTGTATGTACTGAAGGGTTGATCTCCGGTACGTTATATAACATTCGAGCACACAGCCAAGCAATCATGACATGATATATATTGACTTGAACTTGAGTGTGTGACAAAATCTAAAATGATCTATATATATATATATATAATGTTCACTATTTTCAATATATATTTATTATTTTATATATATATATAATTGGTCATTATATATTCTCTTCGTTAAACAGCACAAGGGATATATATATATATAACATTTAATTTAACAATAATTTTAATAATAATAGTATGTGATGAACACAAATTGAACATAATCAACGTGTTAAAGAAAGCTCTATTTTTCAGATAACTGTGTTAAATGTGTGTGTTTGTGCTTGTGTGTTGTAATATATGTTAAACTCATGTGTATTAGTCTTTAACACTGATTCTAGAACAGCAGCACCAGAACAAGTGAGAGATGCATAAAATAAACAACTTGAAAAATGGAATAGCACTTGATTTTGGTTGTGTGTGTGTGTGTGTGTGTGTGTGTGTGTGTGTGTGTGTGTGTGTGTGTGTGTGTGTGTGTGTGTGTGTGTGTGTGTGTGTGTGTGTGTTTGTGTGTGTGTGGTCCAGCAAAGCAGCGAATCATGTGAAGCAGAGGGTGAAAATCTGTCTGTTCTACTTCATTTCTCTGTCAGTTATAACATGAATCATTTGAGCATGAGTGTGTGTGTGTGTGTGTGTGTGTGTGTGTGTGTGTGTGTATGTGTATGTGTGTGTGTGTGATCCTCCAGGCTTATGTTCAAACAGACACTTTCTCTCTCTCTCTCTCTCTCTCTCTCTCTCTCTTTCTCTCTCTCTGTGCTGTTGTGATTTGTCTTCATCATTTCTGTGTATTTTTCGAGTGCCTCTCTTTTCACTCTCATGATTTGGCTTTTTAATCCATCTCAGTCATTCATATTTACACTTCCCTAAAATATGATTGTTTTCTAGTACTAATATCTTCATTTTAAAACAAGAAAACACTTCATTTGAGACGCAAAATACACAATGACTTCCAGACAGTTGATTAGTGTTGCTCTCTGAATAGCTGTCTATACAGCGCTCTGCATTAATGAGCACAGCCTCTGTTAATGATGGTTATTTTTGTCTGTTTTGTAGTGAGAATATGTTGGTGCATTTAAACTAACGGTGTTATTAAACAGTTATATGCATTAAAATAAGAGTTTGGTCACCGGACATCTTTAGGAATAGAAATATTATGCACTTAAATTCAAGTTACTGCAAAAAAAAGTCAATTATATTTTACGTTTCTCTTGATTTTTTACTGTTTTGTTTAATATTTTCCCTCAACATATTAATCTCAAGTGTGCTATTCTTTCTGTGATCTTCAGTTTTCTGTTAGATTAGTTTATCAGTTTTGTCTTTGGCACTGATTAATGTAGGTGGCGGCATGGTGGCTCAGTGGTTAGCACTGTGGCCTCATGGCAAGAAGGTCGCTGGTTTGAGCCCTGGTGTTCTGTCGATTTGTCCTACCTCCCATACAAAACGCACATTTTGATGACACAAGATGCCACCTCTCAGATTTTACTAGCAGTGTTAATGTTAATGTAGAGTAGTGTGATATGAAGCTGTAACATCACCCCAATCCCGAACCCCAACCTCAGAACCATTCAGATACAGGGTTGGTGGCATAATCTGATGGCTAGAATAAAATGTCAGGACACCGGCTGGGTCAGTGTGTGTTTCTGTGTGGAGTTTGTATGTTTTCCCCGTGTTGGCGTGGGTTTCCTCCGGGTGCTCCAGTCCTAACACATGCGCTATAGGGGAACTAATAAAAAACTGTAAAGCATCTTGCAGAAGATATGAATGTAAACGAGAGATCTGTGAGGGGTCCACTCATTTACGCTGAACACTGTATAGATGTTCCCTTCCTCTCCCATTGTAAAGACTGAAACCACGACAGCACGACACATCTGTAACTGTGTAAAGTTGTGGTACCTGCAGCGATGGGTGACTCTCTCTCATCCAGCAGATGGATGGCGCTGCTGGCCAAGACCACACTCTTATTGTCAGAGGCTGAAAAATACAGATAAAGCTCAGCTCAGGTCAAACAAGCACACACATACTGAATATGCATTCATACGTACAGTTGAAGTCAGAACTATTCGCCCCCCTTTGAATTTTATTTT